TTGTTTTCTGAGTTAGGAAATTTATTCCAGTCATGTAATGTGTGTTTTTTTTCTTTTCTTTTTTTGTTTTTGTTTGTTTGATTCATTCAGTCATTTAATTTGTGTTGTCTCGTTAGTTTCCCTGAGGCTGCCTATAGAAGGTATTGATATTAAGTTAAGGATTTGATCAGGACTCCTACTGAATCTTTGTAATGATCAATCCATCCATTCATTAATCCATCCATCTATCCATCCTTTCACTCTTGGTTTTTCCAGAAAGGTGTAGTAATTTTGTAAAACAGTAGCTTTTAGGCTGGTTAAGCTATTGGATTGCATTCATTCATGCAGAGCTGTGCACTCAGCTTAGCCTAGCTTTATTCAGCATGTGGGACACTAAAATAGATGTATGGCACTCTCTTCTGCCAAGTAGCACATTTCATTATATGGTGCGCCACTTTTTCACTTTAAACCTAAAATACATTAAGGAGTAAACGTAGGTTTCATTTCTATTTAACTTCATGGTTTTGTAGACATTTTCTGCAGAGAAACTGGAAATAGGGTAAAGATACATCCAAATGAGTGTGAAATACACTGAAAAGTTGGACTTGTGCAGGTAATGAATACTACCGGATGAAAAGAAAATTAGGATCTTCATGAAAATTTTATTTTATAAAAAAGTGTGGACCGACGCCAGCAGATAACACAACCAAAAATAAATCACTAATTGGATGCTTTAATCTCATCCAAATCTGTGCTTTTCTGCACTTTCTTCTGAATAAAGGGCCTTAATTTTCTCTGAACCACTGATCACATACCACTGAAAGTAATTTTCCTGAATTAGCCAGTTTAAAAAATGTCTCAATTTCTTTTGTTTTGCTGTAGGTTTAAACATTTCTTGCGTAATATGGATGGATTTTTCATCACAATCACCCTAAGGCTGCAGCCATTCATGTAATTTGTGCACCTGTTATCCATCACTGTTTTCCTTCCATCAAACTTCCAGTCATCTGATACAATGCTCTGTAAACAGCCCGTTTCTCTAGCAATGGCCTTCTGTAGCTTATCCTATTTGTGCACAGTGTCAGAAACTACTTGATAACTATTAAGTCACTCCTTTCACCATAATTGCGTGGGACCTGACATGGAAATAATATTTCTATTATCTTTTATTTTAGTTTTCATCTCTGTACTTCTACTTTAACTTTTTTAGGAGCTAAACTTTGGTATGTTAGTAGCTATTCATCAACACGAGCATAAATAAACAACTGATATATATCCCAATATTTAGAAGTATATGTTTTGTTTTTGGTTTAAATGGTTTTGATGTACAACCTTTAATATTTTTTTTACAAATCAACCAGTACCATTCTGTTGTGGTAAAATCCAGCAAATAACCCAAAGAAAAAAAACATAACAAAAATTGCTTGTTCCCTATATTCCCACCAGGTGGCAGCAAAACACCAAAGGGAATAGAGAGGGGTGATGCAGAGTGAAACGCAACTATTCTTTCTTTTTGCTAATAAAAATAAATGATTGGCTTAATTTTTTTGTTAATTTTGAATTGATTTTCATCTGACCATCTTCCACTCGAAACACACTCACATTCCCACCTAAACAGAAAACTTTACACTGAACTAAAACTATCGAGCTTTTAAGAAATATTTATAATATAAGTAGGTATTTATTTGATAAAGCTGTATTTTAAATATTTACCACAGTATTTGTGTTGCTTATTTTACATTTTATGAGACATGCATGAGGAAATAAAGCTGTAAAGATGTCATGGTACCTGAAAGAGTAACACAGTTCAGCCTTAATTAATGTCTGATAGGCGGGAAGATGCTAGAACATTCCGCTTCATTTATATCAGATTGTCTGACTTAGAGAGAGATTACGACCACAATATTACAAAAGTCTTATTTCAAAGCATTATAATAAGATATTTATGTGTTAAATATTGTCAATATATGAGGTACAGATGCACCTATTAAATCTGTTAAAGAATTTTTAATTATATTCGCTTAAAATATTCTTATTATAAGTCAAATTAATAAAAGTTCTATAATGTGTTACCTAACACCATTTACCTCAATGCATTTTTTTTTTTTAAGTTTAAAGGCTTATACTTTGTTTTATATTCGGGACAGGCTTGTAATTACTTAATTTTCTGTAGGTTTCAGAAACCTATAACAGCATGTTTTTTTTTTCACTTTTAATAGTTTTTTTTTTTTGCAGAAAAATGGTCAAAATTAGTTCTGCCAGTAAATACTGATGAGTGCATGTTTTCTTTATAATGACATGAGGATATATTGTTGTTGGCTGCGAGTCGTAAATGTTTGTATATCTCAATAGAAGTTGTGTAAATGCAGTGTCTGTGTGTATAGTCTTGTGTTTAGGTGGAAATTGGAGTGTTTTTTAAGTGGTAAACTGAAAAGGCTTACATGTGTTTAACCCACAACCCTCCTGTTTGTTTGATGTACCTACCTGCCACCCCTGGACTCCTCTCTATTGGCTATAGGTCATTATCAGGCCGATGTGCATGCTTACACACAACCAGTGCTTAGTTGAGAGCTTCGCACAGCCACTTTGTTATTTTAAAAGCATTCAAAGCATCAACAACCTCATTATAGTTCAACCTGCAGGGCCACACGTTCTGCTGCGAGCACACAGGCACAGTTGGCGCTCCCAGCCACCTGCAAAGTACAGATGGCACATCCCGCCTCCAGACACCTGCCATGCAGGGTACTAAATGGCCATTAGTGGGGGGGAGGAAAAAACAAAGAAGTCAGTGAAAGTGCTGGTATGTCATATCATACACATTAACTCAGCCAGATGGCCAGCCTTTTGGAGGGAAAGTATCTCTGTATAATCGCCACCGTCATCTAGGTGTATCTATTTGTTACTTGATCGATTACTCCCCCTTTTACTTCCAAAAAAGGAGCATCTTTCTGAAACTTTATTCTAAAAATCCAAACAGATTTTGGGGTTTTTATGTTCTAACTTTACGTCTTTCCCCTTCGCCATTGTTTCTGCTAATAATTTTTACACTTGAAGCTTTATGGAGGGAAATAAGTCTTTGATGACCTCCATTACCAGCAGGCTCTGGGGTCTATTGAGACTGCAGCAGGAGAAGCCCAGTGAGGCCAAGGTTTGGCTGATTGCTCTAGGGGCCCCCTGCAGTGCTCCTTCCCCTGGCCACACACACACTGTGGACCCCGGTCGCCCTGGAGCCTGGAGCTGTCCCACAGGAATGTGATTCGCTGTCTGGCCCTAAGGGCTGTTAACAACAGTTTAGTATTGTCTGCCTTTTTTTAACCAGCTACTCAAACAAACAACACATACAGGCACACTCCCTGACTGTCATTTTAAACGGAAGATCCTGAAACCACCTGTGCATTCATGTATGCATGCTTAAAGCCATATGTTTGGGTTCTCAGAGTGTCTATTTAGCTGAATTTTCCATGTTAGGATAAATCTAGATAATCTTGTAATCCGATAAATCAAGGATCGGTGTAGCTCCTGATTAGACACAGAGGAGGTGATTAAAGATGATGGTCACCCTCAGCCACATTGTTCAGTAGCTGATGCTCAAATTCACAGCTTCTTAACAGAGAGCTTCCTGCTTCTTGTTCGGTTTTTTCAGTTTATTTATATCGTGCCAATTCACAATACATGTCATCTCAAGGCACTTTACAGTTCACCAGATCATACAGTCAAACTGATTAAAAGTATTCTATATAAGGAAAACCAGTTGATTGCATCAACTCATTGACTCGAATGCAATCCCTCACACTAAGCATGGTTGTAGCGACAGTGGAGAGGAAAAACTTACTTTTAACAGGAAGAAACCTCCAGCAGAACCAGGCTCGGTGTGAGTCCAGGAAATACACAGCCAGGCAGATGAGCTCCAAGCCACTCCCATGTTGGTGATTTGTTGTCAAGCTGTTGTGTTTGCTTGTTTTTATTTTTAAATATGTAACAGTTTAATATTATTTGGTAAATATTCAGTCTCAGATAAACGAAAGCTCAACTGTTATCTAAAGTTATATTGGTATAACCTTTTTGTGTTTTCTTTTTTACGTAATACATTTTACTTCACGTTGTTATGAATATTTTAAAAATGACAAGTAGCGCTATTGTGGTCTAAAATAAACACTATTTGGTCTAAAATCCAGTGAATGTTAGCGTACATCGGACAGGATGATGCTTGATCCTCTGCAGTGAAATTAAAACAACCATTTGCTACAATATGAACGGACATTTTTCAATTGATTATTATTCATTTCAATTTGTAAAAGAATAACAAAAAGCAATAAAATAAATAAACAGACAAGTGTTTGTATCAAGATCTAAAATCACCATAGGGAAATAAATCCACTACCTTTTGTATTAACAACTCGAAACTACTATAAACAAAAAATATATGTATGATCATGAACTCTAATCGACAGTAAATAGAAAATGGCTAAAAATATTTGAATTAATGACTAGATAAAAAAAAACCTCTAGTATTAGACCCAAAATATCAAAACCTCTTGAATGATTTAAAGTTCATAATTTATTTACTTGGTTAATTGGTTTTCTGTTGCTGAGCAAAAGTTAAAATACATTTTATTTTGGATTTCTAACTAATATGTAAAGAGATTTCATCGTTACATATAAACAACAGTTAAAGTTGGAAGTATATAAAGATTAGTAAGTTTCCTTCCACTGGTGGGAGGAATGGGAATATAATGTGGTAGTTTTCCACTGGGATTTGAAACTGCTCAGGGGACCAAGGATGAAGGGGCCCCAGACCCAAATATGTAAATGTGGTTGTATTTATCTCGTTCCTTCATGTTGTTATTGACCTCAGCACTCAGAGCTATGTTTCCAATTGATATATTTTAATCTCACGAGCTGCATCAGTGCCAAAGAAATCAAATTAATGTGCATCCAGTTTGTTGAAGCATATCCTGTCCTTAATGTATTGTAATAATAGAAGGGTCTGTTGTTTTGCTTTTTGTTTTGCTGTTGCTTAGGCAAAGTGACGACCTTCACTGATCAGGAAGAAGAAATAGATTTCCTTCACTCCTTTATAGAAAAGCAGGAAGAGTCGAACGTTAAAACAACTAAAATTCAACTGCAAAAAACTGGTAAGAAGTTAGCATCAAAATCACCAAAGTTACATTTGCTTTGCTCTTTCACTCTCGTTTCCTCAGTTGAGGAAATTTCCTTCCTCTTTGTTAATTCGGTCTCTTGTTTATCACCTTCTGCCTCCAGCCTCCAGTTCTTCCCATTCGGATCCTAAGGACAGCAGAACAGGGACATCTGAACAGAGATCCCGGAACCAGGACCAACAGTCGGGGAAAATCCCACGTAGCACCACAGCAGTTCCAGTCCCCGCTGGAACCGCCTCTCCTAACACGCTTCGACCTGAGCCTGGGGTCACCGGAGCTGATGGCCGCTATGGTCCTTTAATTGTGCACCATCCTGATAATGACACCATCTTTGTCAGTGAGTGACGTTTTCTCACTCTTACTAGCATATAATGTTAATTAAGCCTGGTTTTAATGTAGCGTTAATCAAACACTTTTATGTGACAGATTTAGCCAAAAATACCTTTTATAGATTACAATAATTCTCAGTTAGATTTGAGCATAAAATGGCAGGAGAATCAAACACAAAACAATTTATAAAGCCTGTATTCAGACCTTTGAATCTCAAATCTCCTTCTTTGTTTATTTTTCTGCAGTTGTAATCTCACTGTGTGTTATTGTGGGCACCGTGGCTGTGATCTTGGCTTCTGTCTGTTATGTCAAGTAAGTATAAAGGCAGCAATGCAGAAACAGGATGGGATGTTTTTGCTGCTGTTGGACATATAGTGTTTGGATGTTTCTTAAAGCAAACCTTGATGTTGTAAAATTATATGGTGCTTTATATTCTTTTATTAAATTTTAAAAAGTGTCTTTATAAGTTTATTCGTTTTTTTGTTGTTTTTTTTCATATTTTTATCACTGAAGACATAAAGCAGGATAATAATGATTTTATGAAAACCTTTAATTTAAAGATTTGCTAAAAATTTGCACACATGCATAAAAATAGCATGTGCGCCTTGAATGCAACGGAATTTAGTCAAAATCCTCTCAGAAACTATTTGTCCACCACAAATAGTCTTCAAGAAGTTCAATTTTTTTGTTCTTAAAAGCCGTTATTGTTGAACCATCCTGAAATACAAACAAAAGAGAAATTCAGTATGAAATGAATGCACACACAATGAATGGATGCAAATTTCTCACCTGACCTGGAGGCTCTATTGGATGTTTGTTTTGAGCAATATAAGGCTCAATATGTTTTACTAACAGCACAAAAGAAAATTCTCTTTTTATAGTGATTTATTTTGCACAATTGCATAAAATTATCCAGTCATACAATAATAATAGGTATTTTAAATTTAGCTGTATTTATTTATTAATTAATGTTTTAAACAGATTTAATATATAAATTTCTCTAGTAGATTTTTAATCTTTTTAATTAGCACAAGTATTTAGAATTTTGTTTTTATAAAATATGTGAAAATACACTTTATATATCCCATGCACTTGCCTATGCCTTCTTCTTATTTGAGCTCATGTAGAGGGGAAATTTCTCCACTGTGAGATCAATAAAGTCAATCATTCAATCAATAAGTTAAATATAAAAATGAAAGCTTCTGTTTTCATCGGCAATGATTTTAGTGACTTCTGCTGGTAAATATGCACATTGCAACCAACTATGCTTGAAAACTTGATCTCTTTTTTTCACTAGTATTTTCTTTTGAGATTCCAAATTGTCACGAAAAAAAAAGTGAATTTCAGTTTAAACTTTTTATGTATTCCAACCAGATTTTGAATTTAATCAATTTATTATTATAATTGTTTGGATGAAAATTATTTTTTGTTAATTGAAAAATTTATAATTTTAATCTATACTTTCAACTATAGGGATTGAAAATGTATCTAAAACCTTATTAAAGTAAAATTCCACTATTTCTGTCCTTTAAATGTGTGTAATTTGAAAGACAGTATGTGCATGTTGAGTCTTATTTGAATTAATTAAAGTCAAAGGCTGATCATGACTCCCCCTACAGGCTGCGTACAGACTCGCATCTAGCAGAGAAAGTGGATTATCCTGCTTTCAAAGGACCAAGCCTTCCCAACACCAAAGCTAACAGTTCTGTAAGTCCTGTTTTTGTTTTGTTTATTCCATTTCACACTTCTGCAGAAACGTTTATGTATCTACATTTAGGTTTGGGCATAATTTACACCTCTTTCTCTGTTTTGTCCCCAGATGGGGGATAAGACTCTGGCTCAGAGTGCTCAGATGTATCACTATCAGCACCAAAAACAGCAGATGATATCAATGGGAAAGTAAGTTTCCTGTTCTTGTCTCTTCCAATCTTTTTATCTTATTGCTTTAGCTGAAAATTTGTGTTTGTAATTCAGCCACAAACCAGAACAAAAAGGTGTTGACACTGAGGCCACATCAGATGAGGAAGAAGTGGCAGGAGGCTTCACAGTATACGAGTGCCCTGGACTCGCCCCGGTGAGCTCGCTGACACCTGAATACTGTAAAATAGTTTCTGATTGTTGTTGTGTTTTCTTTTTTTTTTTAATGCCACGTCTCTCTGTCCCCAGACCGGTGAGATGGAAGTGAAAAATCCTCTGTTTGACGATTCACCTCCAGAATATCAGGAGACTCCTAAGTGAACGATCAACACCACGGAAACACTCACACATACATAGAAATTTCTCTGCAAGAAAGTTCCTCTTTTCCTCTCTGCCTGCATGGAAACCAAGAATGATGTTGTCGAAATGATTGTTTTATCTTCCGCCTTTTAAAATATTGGCCCATATTGGCTTTTTAATGCTACTGATGTATAATGGGTTCCTTGTTAATTTATTTCTGTCCCTCCTTCTTTTAATTTAATATTTGTTGATTTAAGTCTAAGTCAAGCTAGTGTTAGTGTTTGGTTCTGTTTTAGTGTTTGATTCTGAGTTTGTGTTTTTATTTTTGCAGCTACTTCCAAAGAGTACTATAACAGATAATATATAACATATAATATATATATATAATAAATATATATATTTTTGTTCTTTTTTTTTAACATATACATAACAATACATTAAACTAAAACAGATGCAAACTCTAACTTTGATTTAACTGATTTCATATTTCTGTTTTCTTTAATAATATTTTAGAAAATGGTTGCTGAACTGTACCTGCTGCTGGTGTTGCTTGTGTATTTTTCTGTCCTGTAGGCTGCACATGAAGATTTTAAGATGATAAAGTATAAATATAGTAATATGGGTGAATATGAAGTAGCTAATGCTGTCTTGCATGGTTTGACTCTACTGCTTAAGTCCTGGCGAAGCTTCGATGAATTGTTCCACCTCCGTGTTGTGCATCTTGTCACTGATGGGGGGGGGCCTCCAAGCACTGGAATGAAATCTGAGATTAGCTGTACCTGTAGATGTTTCACTGGCAATCATAATGATCCTGTAGTGTTTCTTTTCTCCATTCTTTGGTTTCAAACTAACCATGTGCTGCAAAATGTACATAAGAGTGAGAATGTTCACTTTTTATAGATATTTGTACATGCAGACTAAAGAGTGAAAATAAAACTTTTTACCACATGTGGAGAAAACTGAGGATTGTCATTTTGTGCTTGTATTTGTTTACAGTTTCTTACACAGTCTGAAGGTTTATAATTTATTCTGTCCTTCTTCCTTGTGTTTTCCTTTCATTCACTCATAAATGACTCATTGGATTAACTTTAAAAATTTTATTGATGGCAGTTTTTCCATCAAATACATTTTTGCTTGCTGAACCAAATCCATATTTATCTGTATGGTGTCATTTTATTGAGTCCGTTTGACACAATTTTTTTTTGTTATACTTTTGATGGGAAATGAATACATACACCAAATCTGAATATCATTTGAATATCAACTTCATAAAATCTAATTAATTTTAACCTATATTTGTTCCTGCATTTAATTAAGTTATGTTAAGCTAACTCATAACATTTAAATGACCCCATGAAAAATAAATTGATTTTATCGACTTAATCGTATTTACTTCAAGAGCAGAAACAGTTTTTGTTAACAAACATGCATGCATGTCAATAAGGTTGACAAAGATAGAGCAGCTGGTGATTCTGGATCTTGGCCTCAAGATAACTTATGGTTCCATCTGTGAGGACTTTGGCGACAACTAACTCCACTATCTCTTTTAGATGCAGTATTACCTACCATGCTGGTCCGTTCTCTGGCAAAATTGCTCCAACAATAAAAATTAAAAAAACTAGGGGAGTGTTCGACTAGTGTTTAGAGCAATGCACTTGTGCTCTGAGAAGGTTGCAAGTACCTGGTTCAATCCCCAAAACATACACTCTTGGTCCCTGAGCAAGACCCTTAACACCACACTGTTCCCAGGCGCCACACAATGGCAGCCCACTGCTCCCTAAGGGGATGGGTTAAAATGCAGAGAATTAATTTATCCTTTGTGTGACAATAAAGGGTTTTACATTTACATAAAAGGAGTAGGACTAATGACAGATTTTTTTTGTGTAGTTTATTCCTGGTAAAAGAAGATAAGATTTTTTTTAATAGCTAATGTAATCCTCCACCTCTCTATTGGCAAGAGGTAGAATTCACCCTGGACAGGTCGCCAGTCCATTGCAGGGCAAAACAGAGGCACACAACCATTCACACACACTCACACACTAAGGAGAATTTAAAGACACCAATTAACCTAACAGCCATGTTTTTGGACTGTGGGAGGAGAGAACCCACGCATGCAGATTGTAGAAAGACCCAGGGCCGAGAATTGAACCCGGAACCCTGATGTAATCCATGGTATAAAAATTCTGTTTTAATTTTTGTTCTTTATCAAGGGATTTTAAATTTACTTTATCTTTGTAAAGTATTAGTGAAAAAAAGTAAAATACTGGAAAATGATTTAAAATATAATTAAGCAATAAACCAGAATTTATTAGATTAGTAAAATAAAAGTCAATATATTATCAGTTAGAGCTGCAGATGATTAAGTTATCCTTGTGGACAAATTAATGGAGAAACAGTCTGACAGACAATTGTCAAATCTTCCACCGGCTCCCTCTGTTCTGAGACCTGAGCAAAAGAGAAGAACCATTGAAACAATGTCGCTGAATAATCTTAAAATCTTTAGATCCTTTTCTTTATAAACTTTAACATTGTAACTTGTTAAAAGAGATGTGTTTCTTTTATCTACAGGTATTTTAGGGTTGGGTAAAGAAGGACAAAATATTATTCTTAGGTTTTACAACTTCTTTATTTATAGTAAAAATAAATGTGTAGGATTCTTTGCATTTCATCTAAAATGATTAATGTACCTAAATTGTGTTTGAAGGATAATGGAAATACATTTTCTAACCCTGTTCCCTACATTACAACAGGCAAGAATAAAGAATATCACCATATGTAAGTTTTGTTTTAAGTGCTAAGTTATGAGAGATGTAACTGTGGAGTATTAATATGTGATCTTTCTTCTAAATATAAATAGTACTTATCGGTATAATGGGGAGGCCATTGGACCATTCAATGCGTCTTCACTTTCAACCTGGTTCTGACTTAGTGTTGCAGCTTTTTTTTTTTTTTTTTTTTAATTCCTTTAAATGTTTAAAGATGGTTCAAATGTGAATCCAGAGGTGTGTTTAAAAGACGAAGTGGAAGTGGGAAACGGGTATTGTCCAAATCAGATTTGTCTTGCATTTTTCTCTGTGTCAAGTTACTTGGATTCTGTTCATCACAATCTAACTTCTTCTCTTTTACTCTGATTCCTTGTGAAATGTGAGATTTTTCGCCATTTGCACAAATGACCACATCCAGAAGGCGTAGATATGTGGTAGCAACTGGTTAAACCAGGACACTGCGAGTAACTGAGTTTTTGCCTTTTTTTAAGTGAACTTTGGCGTTGTTGGGGAGGGGATGGGTCAGGCTACCATCCCCATTGAGCCACATGCCAAGGGCCATTTAAAGCTTTTGTGCTGGTGGACAGTGGAAGGAAGGTGGCCCAACGGCCCTCGGATGAAAATCTGGGTGGGGTGGAGGTGGAGGGCATGTGAAGGTGGGTGTCAAAGACAGGAGTATCATTAAGGAGGAAAATCAGAAAGCCATCAGACTTGTTTGTGGGGGATGACTGTGTTTCACAACAGGAGGGACAGATTCCAGGAATCCAGGTGTTGGTATTTTATCAGATCAGCAGCAAACTCAAAGCTGGGAATCTTTGCCTCAATTTCCAATTTATACAAGAGTTTCTGAAATAAAGTTAAACCTTTAGATGTGTTTAAAGCTCAACTTTAATTAAATTTTCTGTTTTGCTTAAATAACACTTCTAAAATGACATCTAAAAACAATAATCTTATTTGAGGTACAGTGGGGTAGATATAAACCAGGCTATTTCTCTCACTGCACAAAATGGGAAACAGAGGTGAACGTTCTCTTCACTCTGTGGTAACAAGAGGAATACATTTAAGAACTTTAGTATAGCTTTATGTCAGAAAGCTGAGAAAAGGTGAAACTTTTGTCACTTCCAGATTTTCAGAGGCAGTTTCATGGGTTTAAAACTCTGGAACTCCAACATTAGTAAAATAGTCAGAGTGATTGGTATGTCATTAAATAAAAAGGGGCAGGAGAGGAAATAGATCAATACATCTACTCTATCAGTGTCCCCATGCTTTTCTTTTTCATCCCTCACTTTCCCCGCTCCTCCATTTGAGCCCAGATCAGTCCTGCAAGCTGAGGTCACCTAAAACACACAAAAAGACAAGATCTGAGACATCTGTGGGGGGTTTCTGGCTAAATACTCACCCTCCCCACACACATCCCCACCTCACTGTACTGAACTATTCAGCCCCCCCTCGTTTGGTCTCTAGATGAGAGCTCTGTAGTCCCCCTTTTCTCTCTCCCTCCAACCCAGCCTTAAGTCTGCTATCTCTCTTGCTGTTTTCCTTTTGCATGACAATCATCCTCCCAAGTCCATGGCCCAGGACAATGCTTGTAGGGATGGAGTTTGATGCCTTTTAAGCCATTGACGGGGTCCTTGTGGTCTTAAAGAGGATCTCTAGTCACAAGCACTGATCCTCTGTGTAAACTGATATCAGAAGGTCCAGCAGAGCAGTTTTATGTTTAAATACTTTGTAAATCTACTCTTTTTTAAAATACCATTACAAATTAAGTCTTTTGAAATATGATTTGGGTTTATATTTTACAATGGAAGTCATCATGCCTAACCTCCCACCTAGTTTCAAGTATTTTCCATCATTAACATGCATGTGACTTCAGCCCTTTTTACCATCGTCTCTGGTCAGCTTACTGTCGTTTCTGAAGCACCGTCCCTAAGCATGATGAATCCACCAACATGTTTCACCATGATGATGGCATGTTCAGTTCTGCAACGTTCCTTTTATCCAACAAGGACCTTTCCTCTCCCACCCCAGAAATAAAAAAATAATCTCACAGTCTGTATCCATCCTGATCACACCAACCCCTCAGTAGAACACAGTGGTGGCACCATCATGCTTTGGAGTGGCCTTTCTTCTGCAAGAAATCAGAAGCTGATAAGAGTTGTGAAGTGGTAAGATCTACATGATTATGAAAAAAAAAACAAAAAACCTAAAGGCTGCATTATTCTTTCTATAGCACAGTAAGGCAATAATGAAGTTGGAATGATGCATTCAGTCTCTCTGATTTTTTTTTATCTTTTTGTGTGTCTGATTTATCTTGACAGCAAAAACAGCTTTTGATGAGCAAAACTGACTTAAATGGAGTGAATCATTTATTATCACTGTTATCATCACTTTTTCAATTGCACAGCCCTGAAGGACCTTTTATGCAGACAGAAGGTAGCCGAAAAATGCGGAACTGTGTCCCACATGCGTCAAACAGCTGATCCACTTACTGTCACCAGTAGACATTCCGGGCAGTGTGCTTATTGCACCTGCAGACTCATTGGGGTTCCCAGACCAGTTTTGGACCTTAAGGCCAAAAGGCGCTGGACATCACGTAAAGGACCAGGGTGAAACTGCTGCCTAGTGTTTGTTTCAGAAGAGATTGTGGGGTGGGGGAGCTGGGCGAGAGGTGATCGTTGTGGGGTGGAATCAAAGGGTTGAGACTTATTGTTCTAATGTGAAAAGGAGCTAATGGTCGACCATCGCAACTCGGGATCTGAAATCCACGGGGTGCCCGGGGGCCAAGACGTACAATGGCACCCCCTCTCCTTCCCCGCAGTGCGTCTTCCTGCCGCAATCTGCGGCTGACGACCCGCGCGGGGGGGCGCCCCATCTGCAGCGACCATCCAGGCCCAATGAATGAGCATCGATCCATGAGTCCTCACCTGAATGCTCCATCCACCAATTTACCTGTAGCCTTTATTCATTTTAAACAACCGTTAATAAAAGATTGACAGCTTTTCCCCCCCTTTTTCTTATTCTTATTTTATTTTTACAGAAACAATAAGTCTAAATTATGCTTTAAAAACTTTTACCCGCTTTCAAAAATGGAACCAAAAGTGTTTTGAAGCGATTTTAAGACAAAAATAAAATAACAATGACTCTTCTAACTTAAAACAAGTTGTCCCAAACAGCATCGGTAAAATATTTTAAATGGCCAAAGTTTTGTTTGGCACAATGTGCCTGAGCTCTACCAAAACAGACAAATGTCCTCTAACAAAATAAGACCAAGCATTGTTTCTTCCTAATCAAATATGTCCTGGGTAATTAGGTTAACATGTTTCCAGATTAGGCTCACAGGTTTATCTTTTTTTAATGGATGAATTCAGAATAAACTGAAGCATTTTTACTCGGATTATAATACCAAAGCCATCTCCTTAAAAAGGCATAATTTAAACAAACAGCTTTATAATTCATGAATGAGAGGAGCAGCTTGTAGTGTTATATGTATTTACATCGGAGGTGACCTGTGTGTATTTAGCATATTTTGCATTGTAAATGCATTTATTTTTCTACTGTTTTCAGCAGCTATGGTTTACATTATTACCAGTTAGATTTGGCTAAATCTGTAATGGTGATCCATAATATAAGCGAAGACACGCCCACTTCTGTATGGAAGAATCAATTTTTTTTTAACCTTTTTATTTATTAATCCAAAACTTTATTGAAAAGTTGCAAATTACAAAAGGATGACAAAAAATATCACAAGATATAGAACATTATCTCCAAAATTAGTGTTCAATGATGAAGTACAATTAGAACTAACATATAACATACTTTAACTTAAATAAATAACTGAAGAGATTTAAACACACACACACACACAAAAAAAAAAAAAACTGAAAAAAAGGCAAGATATATTACATTTCTCCAAATATTTCCTGAATTACTTTAACAGCGTTTATACATTTTTATTGTTGATTCTTTGGATAAAAGTGAAGTAAATTTTAAAAAATAATTTTCAAACACAGGGAAGAAAGGTCGACCTTTGGAAAAACTTGGTTATGTGCCTATGTGAAAGTTTGCAATAAGAATAATCAAGTTAACCAAGAGTTGCATTTTCCTATCATTATTAGTATAGTGTAAGATTATATCTTTGGCGTGTAATTTAATTGGTGTGTTGGAATGCGACATTATGTAAACCTCAACTTCTTTCCTGAATATCTGTGGAAGAATCAAGGTCATTCACAAATTTGCCATCAGCTGTGCGTAATTGATTGCGTCAGCCAATGGGAGCAGAGGAAGCTCCCTGAGCTGAGATAAGGAAAACCTGTGGATCCACCTCAAGGGATGATCATTTCAGCTGAGAGCTGGTTGAAGGCATGACTATGATGCGACATTCAGGAAACTGAGGCCTTTTTGAAGATTTTTTTTGTCATCGCTGGAATTTTAGTTTACTTCAACCCAGATGGGTACTTTTAAACCAACCGGTTTTTAACTTATCTAAATTATTAGGTCTACTGGAGAGTTTATACACTCTTGGGAAGATGACTGACAGATCGCAAACTCCTGAGGTCCAAAGCAGGCCTTATGACTTTAGTCGGTCTGGTGCTTGCAGCAGCCAAGTTTTGGGTCAAGAAGGAAACGTTTCTTTCCAGCTTCCTCACGGGGTTCTGCCTGACCCGAGCCTCTTCTACAGCAAGGCCGCATATGGAGGGATCACACCTGGATCCGCGCAGACGTTTCTCCCGTTTCCACCCGACTACAGGGGATCCGACCTGCAGGCTGGGGACTTTGGGCAGCCAAAGCATTGGTATCCCTTCCCTGCGCCCGAGTACACCGGGCAGATACCCGGCGTGACTGCGGCCACCCAGCCTACAAACATGAGCCCGCCGATAGCCGAGACTCGGGAGCAAATCAGATTACCCGATATTAAGACGGAGGAGGACACTGGAGAGGGTTATTCTACCGACATGAAGGCTCAGCAGTATCCGACTCTAGCACCTTCCACAGGCATGACCCATGGAGTCTTCTACCCCCCGGCCTGGAACCCCTCCTTCTGGCCTGGGATCACCCACATTGCCCCAACAGGGAGCAATAATCAAAACCCCTCTGCGTCCTCAGCATCGTCCCCTTCCATGTCCCCCTCACCCCCAAGCAACGGGATTCAGGGAAACTCATTTTTTAGCGTAAACTCAAACCAGGTTCCTGCTGAGCCTCAGGCGCAGAACCCGGCCTCCAACGCACGGAGCAGTGGGTCCTCAAGCGGTGGCTGCAGCGACTCAGAGGAGGTAGGTCAACAGTCATTTTCTTTTCATGTAAATACGCAAAAATATAGGAATGGTTATCTAATCTGAAAATATCCCATCAGGAAATCCTCACCACTGAAGAACTGGAGCAGTTTGCAAAAGAGTTAAAGCACAAACGAATTACTTTGGGTTTTACTCAAGCAGATGTTGGCCTTGCTCTGGGTAACCTTTATGGTAGGTTTCCGTCTTGGCACAATTTATAATTTATTTGATTGCAATTTTTTTTTAGCCTTTGCGCAAAATCTAATATTTGAAAACTGTTGGTCTATAATGTTTTTGTACATTGTTTGAACAAGTTTCTTCAGAAACTGAAAGGCTGCTTGTCCTTTTTTTTTTTTTTTCCTCAATGTAGGCAAGATGTTCAGCCAGACAACCATTTGCCGATTTGAGGCTCTGCAGCTGAGCTTCAAGAATATGTGCAAACTGAAACCCCTTCTGCAGAGATGGCTGGATGAGGCAGAAACGTCGGACAATCCTCAGGATGTAAGTGCTGCTTGTAACATCTGCCAACTAGTTTGCAAGAAAACAAAAGCCTGGCCGATGGCTTGATGGAGCTGGGCTTTTCAGGCCTACAGTAGTTAAACTTCCTGCTGAGCAAACATGAATCAAAGCCATCTGCTCCTGTAATGCGCCCCCTAGTGGGGAAAACCCAACTGGTTATCTCATGAACTCAGATTTGTGCTAAATTTGTGATGGCATTTACAGTCTAGTGATGAAGAGTTACTTTTTCTGCCTGACTGTACAGCTCCTCAGATACCTGGTAATACTTTTATCAGTTTTTTGGGGGGAAGGGATGCATCTAAAAGTGACTCTCAATGACTGGGCACAGGCATGTAGAGTAACGGTACAATACATTTTTTAATCAACAGTCTCATCACTGGTTTTCCTCAGATGTACAAGATTGAGCGAGTGTTCGTTGAAACCAGGAAGAGAAAACGGAGGACCAGTCTGGAGGGAGCTGTGCGCTCTGCGTTAGAGGCCTACTTTATCAAATGTCCAAAGCCAAACACCCAGGAAATAACCCAGATCTCGGATGATCTGGGCCTAGAAAGAGATGTAAGTGTAGGAAAATAAAAAAAGTCTAATGATCTTTTAAACAAAGGTTTCTGAACTTGGTTGGTTTAATGGTGAACCTTGCTGTGGCAGGTGGTGAGAGTCTGGTTTTGCAATCGAAGGCAGAAGGGAAAGCGTCTCGCCTTACCATTGGATGAAGAGTGTGAAGGCCAGTACTACGAGCAGAGCCATTCACCATTGAACATGGCCCCTTCCCCCATCCAAAGCCAAGCCTACCCATCCTCCGGCTACACCGGAGCACCCCCTCCAACCCTTTACATGCCCCAGCTACACCGACCCGATGTTCTGAAACAGGCCCTGCATCCTGGACTGGTTGGTCACCTGACTGGATAAAGTGGAGGGTAGTCTCCCAACCAGATCCCATCTAAACTCGACCTGAGCATAAAACTGATCCAGTTTCAGTCGACTAGATGAATAAGAATTGGGAGAATCCAGCTATTTGGCTACGAGAAACATGAGTTAAAGGCCTTGATAAAAAAAAAAAAAGTGAATTGTTGATCATTTAAGCCTTAATTCTTTGCAGCTTTTTAAAATGATTTTGTACTTTTCGGTAATGATGAAGTTAGGCTCAGGTTAAACCTTTTAATACTGCAGGGCCAAAGAGTAGGCTTAATTTAAATGTTTGAGTTACCATTTCTGTTATTGTGCAATAATTTTTAAGGAAATGGCAGCTGTTGGTGACACTGGAAACTTATTTTGTCTTTTTTTGCACATATTTGCAATCTTCAGCAGCTGTATGATCGACTGTTTTACACATTAAAAGCTTATATTAACACGCTTTTGGAAAACTGAAAGTGTTTCACCACTCCTGTATGCCAAGCCTTTTTTTTTTTTCTTATTTTAAAGGTTCCTGTCAGTCTTCAAACCTGTAACTATTTTATAACTTGACTTTTGATCAGCATAATGTAAAAGTTAAATGGCAGTTTTTTCCCCCTTGATTATCTCTGAAGGTGCACACTAGCGTACTTAAGATGTGCACCTTTTTAAATTACAATTTAATGTTCTTGGCTTTAACCCTGTACAAGTCTCAGTTGAATCATCGCTAAACAAAAGTGACTTGCTTTGAATCTTATTCCCCTTTGCGTTTTTTTTTGTCTCCAAGACCTGACATCAGTGCATTTGTAATGTTTGCAATAGCTGTTAGCTTTTAATGTGAAATTACTAAGATTTACAAAGAATTCTAATATATTAAATTGTGGCAGTGAAGAAAATCATCTGAAAACACCCTTTCAATTCAGTTTTTTTTTTTTTCCCCAAACACATTTGCTTAAAAATCATGCTGCTTTTGTTATTTGAACTTTTTGTACATGCAGTTAAATTGTCTGTTTACTTCCAGTAAATCTTTTACAAACACATCAAAAACCAGTTGCATGTTTGTTTTTATTTGGAGGTGGCAAATAAGTGGTATCTGTATAGCATCGGGGACAAAATGGTGACCCTTGGTTTGGTGTTTGTACCGGTATATAAATCTTTAATTTAAAGCAATGTGATGCATTTTAGGAAAGAACAGGGGATTCAGACTTGACTCAATTAGTAGTCATACCAAAATCCCTCTGTAGGTGGCTTTTAACAACATAGGTAATATGACCATTTTAGGATTACCCCACAAATGCATAATAGTTCCAATGGTACATTTTATTTGTTCTTGTATTTATGTTGTCTGTGACTGGGCCTGCTGTTGATCCATACAGCAGGAGATCTAACATTTGATGTAGCATACTCTGGTCCCGAGGCCTGCACCATGGAGCAGGATTACTGGGTTAGCAAATAAACTCTAGGCTTGACCCTGACTTTCCTCTGCCATTAAGCTTAATTCATTCTTGATGAGGTAACGCACTCTGAACAGCAAGCCTGGTCATGGGCAGGCTAGCTTTCAGGATTCATCTGTATGCTGGAAAACACTCCGCCATTGAATGCATTGAATACCTGATTTAATTCAGAGCAAAGAGCTTAAACTTAAAAAGGAACTTAAACAAAGAAATTAAAAAATTAAAAGATTTCAAATACATTTTTCTACCTTTTTTTTTTTTATATGCAAACCTTTTAGTATTTGTTTCCGCCTCTATAATGTCCTTATACCCCCTGGCATTAACTGGTTTCTTGTATAGTTGATTCATGAAGTTAAAAAAATCGGAGCAGAGGAAGATGATCCTTCGGATCACTGTGACAATATTAGTGATGCAGGTTTTTCTTGCATATATATATGCCAGATATTTAAAACTTGTTGGCAGTGCAGCCTCACTGTATTACAGACTGTGTTAATATATTATGCAACATGCAGCTTCATGCACACAGTCTGGGATGTTGAGTGGCTCAGGAAAAATGCAGCCTATATATAGCATTATGAAGGGCTGGTAAATTGATGAGAATTGATGTGAATCTGTTAAACCCTAATACCTGCCTGTTACGTGTTAAAATTAATGTTTATAGTTTATCTAATTAAGGCAGTTCCTCTGTCTGGATATACAGTAATCATATTCATTATGTACATGACAGAGATTTGGAAATGAAATGGGACACACAGTTTATTAACAGGCAGTTTTCTGTGCTTTTATCTGGGACAATGTGTAATAGTTTTATATGGCTAGATCCATGGTTGTCTCCTCATTTACAAATGTTTATGTTCTGAAAGACTGAATTAAGATAAAATGCATTAACTGTGATTTTGGGCTGACTACATGGAGAAACAAGCCTGGTTGGTAAGTGTTGCCATCTGTATCCCTAAGCAAATTCTGTGGTCTGAGTAAGATTACTATTTCTGTTAAAATCTGTCATGTCTCATAGATATTTGATTCATATACATTATGACATGTTATTTAAAGAGTTTCCCTCGAGTGATCTCTTAAGAAAGAATCAGTGTGAGAAAGCTTAAGGTGTAACCCTTAAGCTGCAACCCTTCGAATGCAGCAGCAAATAGTTAAACTTCTCAAATGTAGTAACACAAGAAATTTACTAAAGAAATTAAGGTTATCTTATACCTTTGGTCCAAAGGTCAGCACAGACAATACATGACAAACAGTAAATAAAGATGATATACTGTAATATAATTCAGCACAGAGAGGAGGTGGAGCTGCTGGTGGACTGTTGCAGAGACTATAACCTGATCCAGAATGTGGAGAAAACGAAGGAGATTGTTGATTTAAGGAAAAATCGGCCTAACCACGCTCCACTGTTCAAATTCCTGGGGCTGCACATCATAGAAAACCTCACCTGCACTGTAAACACCACTTCAAAAGGGCACAAAAGTGCTTGTAACCCCTGTGGCAGATGTGGACAGCCCACCTGCCCTGACCAATCTTCACAACCTTCTACAGAAGCACCATGGAGAGCGTTCTGACTACTGTGTGTTGTAGGGAATACAACGCCGCAGACTGAAAGGTGAGGAGAATAGTGAGAACTGCAGAGAAGATCATCAGGGCTCCTCTTCCCTCCATAAAAGGTATTTCATCCCAGCACTGCGTGTCCCGAACCTGTAAAGTTATTAATGACCCCTCACACCCCCACCATGGACTGTTCTAACTGCTGCCCTCTGGGAAGAGGCTTTGAAGCATCGGATGCAGGTCCAGCAGATTCCAAAAAAGCTACTTCCCCACTACCATAAGAATGCTGAATGTTGAATAAAAAAATAAAAAAAAGATGAATGTTGGAAAAAATCTGTTAATCATATCTCAGTCCTATGTTTACATTTGATCACCATGCTTAAATTGGATCACTGTTGCACTTTAAAAAATGGAAATGTCTTAAGAGCTGTACTGAACAAAATATCATTTTGTAGACACCCAGTGTGTAAAAAATGACAATAAAAATTGTCTAAGCATATCAGATCTGTTAA